TATTTGTTACTCATTTTAATTTCATTTCTTTCTTTTTAAACATCTTATCAAAATTATTTTTGTTGTGACGAGAAAGCAGCCTTTTTTGTCTTGTGAAGAAAAACGTTCTATTACTTTTTGATTGAATTGATGTACATGTACACGCCATGTGATTTTCCACTGGTAATGAAACTGGTTATAGCGGCCGTCTACCGCGACAGTATAATTAAGGCGAAGATTATGATGATGAGAAAGCCAGACAATGGCTTTTACAGATGGACCTTCTGAAGAAATTGCTCATATGAATATCAATAACCACGTTGTATTAAGGTGTTTACACCTTCCCTATTTTGTTTTTACAATTTTGTATGTGACGTAGTTTTAATACATACTGAGCTGGACCGGATACAGCGCCCAATTAAAGTCGAATACCCGTGAGCGAATGTAAACCTGAGTTAGGTGCAACTTGGGTAAATGTTTCAATTGGGTGCCGAATTTTGAGCTCGTACAGCCGCGCAAGCTTCCATCAGGATTTCACAGAAAGAGAGTGAACATTCATTTTTGTTCACGGTTTCCACAAACAAAAATGTAAAGTATCTTCGGAACGAATGTTTCAGCAAGTTATTATTTTATTTGTAATAAATTTGCTTAAAAGCAAAGGTTTTGCGTAGCTGTAATGCAGCTCTATACGTACAGGCAATGAAGCTTCCGCTTTACCTGAGCCAAGTTGAACGATTTAATCTTTTACAGGGGGCTGTTTCCTTGGTAACGAATCCGTCAGGATACCGATGGGACTTCAAGCTGTATTATTAAGCAGAGAGGGATCCCGGTTGGTTGCTAGGCTGCAGTGGTTGTGTCCCTCGCGTGAATGATCATGCACTTTCTTGGAAAAAAAAGACACAGGAGTGTATAGGTTTTCCCGGCCAACTTCCTGAAATGTTCATTCACTGCTGAAAATCGGTCATTCATTTTCGTCTGAATTTCAATGCACTTTCTTAAATCCCATTTCAATTCATCGAAAGTTCAATGTTTTCATTGTCCGTGCAATCGGTTTTGAGAAACAGACAACAATTACGTTTACCTGTGCATTCATTTACCTTTTCTAAATTGATTTCAGGTACAGCTAATTTGATTGACGGTTCATGAAAAAGAAAGTTGTAGGCCTATCTGGTGCCGATGGTATTAAAGTAAAAGTGAAATAGAATGGTGAATGTTTGAAATCGCCCGCTAAAAGCGAAAAAGAAGTCTTGTAAACAAATCTGAATGTGGACATAAACGAAAGGTGCTGCTCAATCACTTAACTGATTGAACTGAAATGGATTCGAATGCTCTGATGGCGAAAATGAAACACGTGTTCAGAGCGATTCGCTTGGTGATTTCGGCTTGGTCTCGAACTAGTGGGACACATGTACATGTATTATGCCATTATGCTGCAACTCAGTGACGAGTTTAAGTTCAGGATGTTCGAAGCTGCGCATACATGAATATGTGGGCAGTGTTAATAGTGTTATGTATCTTGAAATGAGATATCTTTTATGCATATATGGGTAAATAGAAATTGACTCTGATTTTCCCCCCATAAGAGAACGTGTTTTGGTTTTTATGTTTTTTATAAAAGCGTTACCGTAAGCCTAACGTCATTTCCTTTAACATGCAGTTCCTGTATTTTCTCACGTAGGCTATAAAGACAGTCACAGTAGCTGACTTCATCTTTGCATCATTCTTTTATGTGTGCAACTGCATGCTGATAACTATAGCGTATACACTAGTGGACTTGGACAAAAATCCCTGAAATTTACAAGGCAAAGGCGATTTTACTATTTACCATGCGTAGCTATTATTTGCCCAAGGCGCGAGGTACATGAATGCAGAATAGTGTTCAATGTTTGCTCCATGGATATTGGCCCTTCTGAGAAGACATTCACAGCTATTATGACTTAATTGGCATATGACGTCACTCACTTAAAGGGGTATGGCCACCTAAATGACGTATCAGCCATAACGGAAAATCCCAGTCATTCCTTTCCCTGTCGTGCGTGGGCTCGATGAGATTGTAAGTTAAATGTATATACTTGAGTTAAATGAGCAAAACGGAAAATACATGTGCACCTCTATATATAAATATGGTGTCCCCATTTTTCCTGTCCATAACATCTGTCATCCATGATTTAATTCTGGGTGCGCTCCTTTAATTACGGTACATTCTTCCTCCAAGAGTGATAATGCATGGGAAGTAAACGACCTACCCAACGAATGAAAATTAGTTTGAAGTAATTTTTAGCGACACTTAAATGACAAATTACAAAGTTTTGAAACAGAGACAGGAAAAATGTCAGACGTTGGTCCCTATGTTTATAGAGTGCTGCATTCTGCTCTTTCTACCTGAAATAATTTATTCTTTTTTTGTCGATCGAACAACCTTGACGAATTATAATGAGTCTAATGCCTTTGCTATAATGTATCGACGGCTCAGGCAACGTTCATGCAAATAAGCAATAATTTCTTGCTGGGAATACTGTACGCCGTCATCCATGTCATCATGAATATAGAGCATGAAAGACTGTAATAGACTTCACGTTTACTTTGTATGTGAACGTCTCGGTACCAGACACTGACTAGTCTAGCCACGGACTCCTTGAGTGACGAATTTCAAATTGGCATTGAAGCCGAGGCTCATTGCTAAGCAACTATAGGATACAGGGACCTTTTCTTTTTTAATCCTTCAACAAAAAGGACTTCGATTTCAACGTAAATATGAAATTCCTCAACATGCTTATGTATGATTGAGGATTACAGGTCAAGGTCAAATTTCCATTTTCTTTATTAATTTTATATAATTTCTTTACCCTAATTTATAACGGTTTTAGGTCTTGGCTCTACCTCAAACTTTTTTTTTTATAGGTAACATGCATTAACTACATAGGACGATGAATGCACCTCAAGGATTGAATCCAACACTTTTGTTGTCGACTCTGACGAATCGGGCAAACAACTTATTATTGAATGCTCGTTGCAAACCCTCAGGTTAATTGCATTTTCATTGGAAAGGAAATGACAACCACCTTTCCAACTAAAGTTCATAAGTTTTCGGTGAAATACTCAACGGTATATAGCAGAAAAACACCCAAACAATACATTCATCGGGTTAACGCAACCATGTCCCGTCCGCACAACAGGCACGATGACGCACACTCTGCAAAGTTCAAACAAAGAATTTTTAATGGCGCAACCAATGCGACATCGCAAACAAACATTCTCTGTTTACCAAAATCAGCCCGCGACAACTCTGACCTGAATTATAATACCCTCCGGTTTTAATAGGGGTTATTTTGCGCCGTTTACAACAGGATCTGATTCATTCTCCCGAGTTTTATGGCCAACCTCGATTCATGTAAACTTATATCAAGCGATAGAAAAGGTATATAATAGTGATCCAACCCCGGATCTGTTCACAGAATTTACAACTTTTGTGTTGACATTGACACAAGTTTACTTAAAATAACTCACTTTGACGAGTTAGCTTTCAGGGTGTCCGAGTATTATGTGCATGGAAAACCTGACGGTTTACTTTGTAAAAGGCTAAAAAGACTAACACAACAACGGAAACGTTTTCAAAAGTGGGGCTCCGAAATATATTTGAGCTGTTTTGTAAAATTTGAGAGCCTGCTTTTCGGCAGGGAAAACTCTGCATTTCTGCCACAATTCACAGAACTGGGCCTATAGCCTTTCTCGACATTTAAGAGACATGAACTATTCTACTTGGCAATTTTGGGAAATTTTGAATAAAAAAAAAAGGAAACTGTGAATAATTGTGTAACAAAAATGAAAAGGTTGGATCCCACAGAACGTCGCCTCAACTTATTTCATATTCATGAACAGAAGTTTAAGGTAGGCGTGCCTGAAACCATGTCTGATTGACAAATATGGGCAGGTTTTGGAAGATATAAAATAAATGCTTCTAATTTTGAAATGATTCTCGTGGTCGCCTAATTGATGTTCAGTGTACATGTATCACGTTCCTTGTGTTTGGTGGTTAGCTGCGCATCCGGGAAATGACATGAGCAATGAAATCCGGTCCCCATGACCCGAATTGACGTCCAAACTGGTTTTGAATTAAAATTCCACTGTGATTTTCTTTTGAAGTCCAAACCACAAACTTGACTTTAATTATTCGAAGGCCTTGGGGAAAATTAAGCATGCATGTAAAAAACAAAAATTGGAAATTGCATGACGTAGTGGGTTCTAAGTGTTTACGTGGGATGTCTCGAAATGGTTTCCTCCCACACAGGTTGTTTACCAATATCCACGAGTCAAATGAACTTCCTGTGGAGAAAATTCCAATATTTTGCATTCCTCCTTTTGAATGTCAGTCATGCGAAATACGCAAATGAAGCGTAGCCAGAAAAACGCCATTGACGAAATGAGTATTTTAATATGGCGAAAGTGGGCAGCCATCGATCACCACAAGTTCAACTTTTTTTGCGCAGTGCGTTCGTCGGTGGGCGGAGCTGACCTTGTTATGCGGTTTGCGCATGACTGTGTCAAACGTCATGCGCAATGACCGTGTCAAACGTCATGCGCAATGACCGTGGCAAAAAAATAGCTTTTTATTTTGATGAAATAAAGCAATTTTCTTCCGCCTACTGAAAGGGTTTGTTGATTGGTGGGGGAGGAATGAACTGACAAACATTGCGACCGCAAATAACTCCAACTTACTCGTTTGGAACGCACCATTTTTTGAATGGGTGTTTTGCACTTTGATGCCACTTTCACTTTTCAGGTCACTACCGGTACGCGTCGCGGTGTTATTAACGAAAACAAGGTTGAGTTAATATTTTTTTTGAAAGTTTACCTTTCCATTTAAATTCCATGAAACGTGGCTTTTGTCTAACTTGAACGTTTGCGAGTGGATCTTCAGTGGCCATCAGAAAGAAATATAAGCCTAGCGTCCACCACAGCTTGACTTCTCCATCATCAGCTTCAAATCTCGCTTAAAACTTTAAATCTCTTTTCATCGACAGAGATAATTTCGAGATAAGATGGCTAAACTGGAGGGCTGCGCTAACTGCGCCAAGATCTTGCTGATCGTCTTCAACATCATCTTCTTTGTGAGTAAAGTATTTTGATCTGTACTCGTATGTCTAAGATGAAACTAGCTTGTTACGCAACACTCCGTGCACCTGTCAATTGCGCGTGCAATTCGAGAACCCCATTGGTCCAAGGAGCACAGAGTGCGCGCGTACCAGCTGCACACGCGCGCGAAGTGCCACCTTGGAAATGGTTTCTTAAACTTTGATTTTTTTTCTGGTGTAGATCGTTGGCATTGCTCTGCTAGCGGTGGGGATATGGGTCGTGACCAGCCCCTACAATCTTGACATCTTGGCCATCCTTGACAACCCGATCCTCGAGAGCGGCGCCTACCTCATCATCGCCTTAGGAGCTTTCATCTTCGTGGTCAGTTTCTTGGGCTGCTGCGGAGCGTGGATGGAGAACAGGCTCATGCTCATCATTGTAAGTATATACTTCCCTGTCCAATACTTCCTTTGCCTCGGGTTCGAATCCCGTTTGGGCCAACATGTGGATTGTGTTTTTCACAGGACAACTTAATTCAGGGGCAGTTTCCCTGCCGAAATATTATACATTCACAATCAAAAAGAACGAGTGAAATGAATGAAAAAGAACGAAATGGCTTGAGGTGGCTATCGTCTTGTGAGATTGGGAGATTGTAGAGATTGGGGTTCGAGTCCAGGCGCTAGACTGTGTGGTTAGGGTCAGGGTGCGTTTGTCCCTAGACAAACCACGCCCTCACAATTGCCTCTGTAACCTTAAAAGAGTATCAAAATAGTCTTTTGACCTTCAAGTGAATAACTGGCTCCATTTTGGTTTTCTTCTTCTTCTTCAGTATTTCATCATCGTGCTGTTGATCTTCATTGCACAGCTCATCGGATGCGCCGTGATCATTGCGTACAAAGACAAGGTAAACTTGGCTGCTTCACTTTCGATTCTTTGTTTGCCTTTTAGTTCCATTCTCAAGGATTTCTGGGGGGAAAAAGAGACCAGTTTCGTTACGCATCTTAACTACTTATTCTGCCTTTACGCATTCCTTGGACTGAATATTAGCTTAAAATGAAAAAGAAAAACAGAAGGGTTTCATAATGTCGTTGTGCATTTCGTTTCGTTCAGGAAAATTTATGATTTCGACTATATTTGTTTCTATTCTGAAGCAAATGGAACTGAGAATTATAAACAGGAACTGAACTGAATTAACGAAGTTTGCTGAGAGCTAGAGAGTAGTTTTTGGTATTAATATTTTTTTAGGTGGATGAATTTGTGACGAACAATCTTCGCAAGACGATGAACATGTACAAGGGAGAGCAAAACGAAGACAAGTACAGCGTGGGTTGGAACGCCCTGCAGGTTTTGGTAAGTGGCATTTACCCTTATGCACACTCACTAGAGGGCGCTGTTGTGACCCTTACGCACGACTTCCTGAGGGCGCCGTCACACTTACCTTACTTTGGTAAATCCTACCTAATGTTGTGGTTATCATTAATCATGACTTCTTAAATGTACAATTACAAATAACCACAACAGTTAGGATAGATTTACCAAAGTGAGTTATTACATGTATTTGATTCGATAGGAATATAGAGTACACATTGGTTCACCCAAATGCTGTTGAAAATGCAATTTAGTAGGCTTATGAGAAATGGAAATGCATAGGGCTACAAGTTTAAGAGGATGATAGAAAGCCGAGTGAGGCCTTTACTGATAAGTTTGCTGTTCTTTTACCAGTTGGAGTGCTGCGGTACCAACAACTACACGGACTGGATGGAGACCCCCTGGTACGGCAACAACACGAATATTATGGTTGGTGGGCAATCTCTCAAACCGGAATGGCCGGCGACTTGCTGCAAGGTAGGATTAATGTGACCTATAGGGGCGGAGACTGGCGAGAATGTGTGGGTTGGTTATCCATTCAGACTGAGGACTTGGGACAATGGTGTGTGTGCGATTTCAATGGGCCCAAAAGCCTGGACCCAGGTCCTCGGGAGAATTCGTGTACAAACCTCATGGGAGCTGTCGAGAATAAGTTAGTACAAACAAAAGGGAACAAAACAAGGAACGGATCAGGTCCTCATGAGTATAGTACACTGAAACGAGCTGGGTGCGTGTGTGTTGGGGGGGGGGGGGTGAACAGACAGGCCACAACTACTTCTCAAGTTCGATCTGATTGTGATGTGCCGACCTTCACATCCTTAATATACCGTTTTCAAAATCACGGCTTCATCTCGGGCTCTGGCTCTAGGATATTGTAGGTCCGCTGAGAGCCAATAAACACGCATTGAGACGATTGGTAAGATGCCTAAAACCGTGAAGCTGAAGCTTGAAACCGAAGATACACCGATAGCCAAAAAAAGTCAAGTTTGGGAAACCTACAACTCTCGTGGGAAGCCCAAACAGCACCGTCCATAGCCTTAATAGTGAAATTCACTCAATCGAAAAGATTGTGATATCATCACCAGAATTTTGACCGCAGTGATTTTTCTTCTTCTTCAAAATACACACGTGTTCCAAGGTGAAATTAGAGTGATTTTCAAAATACACACGTGTTCCAAGGTGAAATTAGAGTGATTTTCGCACTTTTTTTCGTCTAAAGTCTAGTAGTTTCAATCTGCGGAAATTAGAGAGTATACTGGACTCGTTTCAATCACACGCTTTTTGGCTCCATTCAGGTGGACAACAACCTCGCACCTGTCACCGATGGCGGTTTCCCAATGCCGACCAACCTGACCTACTGCTACGGCGTGGGCGTGTCGGAGATGATGCGCAACGAGTATCTCAACACCGAGGGCTGTTACATGGCGTTCGAGGATTGGGTCAAGAGTCGCGCCCTCTATATCGGTGGCGTTGGTCTCGGCTTGGCTTTCTTGGAGGTGAGTTCGTTGAAAGAAATTTGAAATATGGCGGACACAAGAGGGCGCTGCTTGGTTTTGATCAATCTGGCTAATGACATATACCCGAAAATTAACGAATGCTGCACACTGGCTACTGACTGGACTGACCGAGATACTTTCCTGCCTGGAAACATTATGCCCTTTTTTATTTATTTAATTATACATAAGGGTTTACCGAAAGTAAACAGCGCCCCCATGTTGTGTCCACCACATCCCCAACAATCCTTTGCGGTATTGACCTCGAAATTTATTCTCTCTGCTTCAAAACATTTTGAAAAAAATAATCACAAGTCTCCAATGTGTTCACGACCGACGTACATCAAATGAAAGCTTGAGTTAGCCTCTTTCGGTGTTTGTTAAATTTCCTGGGGTAATTCAATGAATGCTGGTCGATATTTTCCAGAATGGTGCACCCATTAAAAATCCGAAGCTCATCGCCATTTTGAAAATGTGCTCCCTATTCAACTGCTCAAATGTTATTTCACACATTGATTCTTTATTGTAAATAACAAGTTGTTTATGATTATTATCGTTGAATTTTTAAAATGTCATTGTGGATGTTATTACTGAAATAATTTCACGCAGGTAATGGGGCTGGTTCTGTCCATGTGTCTGGCCATCATTCTTAAGAAACAGTAAAAAGGTTGGGATATAAATGGTGAGGATTGAAGGAATGGATACGTTTGATGAATGCCGCCATGTCTGTTTGCGATTCTCAACTCCAGTGATTTTAATTTTGCATTATTTGCAACAAATTTCACAAAAAGGCCTAGAAATAATATCGACACAGTGAAAGATGGCACTTGCACCGCTTGGTTTTCTTTGTGGATACAATAGTCTGGTTCCCCTAGCAAAGGTGATTATCCTTTACTAACATGATATGACGTCATGTATATCCGTCTAGCAACCGTTGACTGTCGTCCATTCACATTTGTGCATGTTATTTTAAGATTGGAAATTCCAAACCCAAATCAAATTTTTCCCGCCAATAATTTGCCTCAAACCAGGTCATGGCAATGGTTCTGTCTGTGTGTTTGTGTCAAGCGATCGGTGGGAAACCCAAGTAGATTATTTGCCTGTTTTGACTAACAACGGTGAGAAGCATGTGTTCTTAAGTCGCATGGATAAAAATGAAAGGAAAACGAGGCATGTCGAATGAAAGAAACCCTGCCAAAAACCGATTGACGACGAAAAAAGTCAATGTCTCACCGTGTTGGAAATTGCAGTCCTTCTTCGCTTTGATTTAATTATACTTCACAAGTCACACTATAATTTGGATTGTTGCTTAAGCCCCCCAAAAGCCATGTTGAGGAGCCTTTTGCGAGTTTCAAGAATATTGAAATCACAAGAAAACCAGACGACCATTTTTTGAATACTTTCTGACCAAATCGACAATCTAGAAACTGGTATGCGCATGATTTTAATGCTCATAAAAAAACGTATTGTTTCCCAGCCAGGTTTATTGACCATACAGTCATTTACATCTGCATGTATACGAGCAAAAGTGCATCCATAATATAATTTTGCATGCACGGCTGATGTTGCTTGCTCGATTGAGTGACCAAGCGGGATACACAAAATTGATGCATTTGTCATCTGAGTTCGAGACACGACTATAATGGGGCTTAATTTTTGATTTAAGATGATAATCTTGCATTTTCCGAGTCGTGCCACCAAGCCGCAAGTAGAGTAACTTGAGCAGTTTGTTAAAAAAAAGTACCAAGTGGTACAACCCACGACGGTTCTACAACCGCGAATTTTGCAATGCAATGGGGCGTGATTTAATATGCGAATTAGACGCATGCGCATCAGTGTCACAAAACTGCAGGTATTCCATAGAAACTCATTGGCGATCCGCGAAGCTGTGATACATGCGTGACATGGAAACAGTATAACGGGCGGAGTTAAGTACCCGCTCATCCCGCCCATCTCGCCCACTTTGCCCACTCCGCCCACTCTGCCACTCACCCACTCCGCCCACTCACACACTCGCCCAACCCGCCCACCAACTTAAGAAGCGCAAGCCCACGGCGGTGTGTTTTGCACTTAATTGCGCCAATTCAATGCTGAGCAAAAAATTGACACCACCGACAACTTCATATCGATTAGTCAGAAAATGTTGACCCGATAGCTTAGCCAATTATCTGGAAAGCAATGTAAATTCTCTCCATTCATAAACTTTAGGATTTGTAACTATTGTGTGTTTGTCTTTTTATTTTATGACAGATTTTCTCCATGGTGTTCGCCATCTGTGTCTGCAGGGGTGTTGGCAAGTCGGAAGATTAGACGAGAGAAAGAAAACCAAGATGGCGACTTAGCAACCATGACGTCATTTCACAAAGCTGCTTCAACTGGCCATTTAACGTTCCTGCCCAAATTTGAAAGAACAATAAAAAGTTTTTTAAAATAGCTAAAAGACTTTTGGAAACTGAAAAAAACCGTAACAATTCTAAATTTACAAATCTTTTCACGCTTGGCAGCTTTTTGAAGCGATTTTCATATTATGAATAAATTATTATTTTTCATTTAAGAGTTTATAGTGCCATGACCAATCACGTCGAGTTGTGATGTTTACAAAGTCACGCCCTTGTTTTCAGGGGACGTGAACTCGGAGCTAAAACCTAACCCCTTCATCACATAAGAACATGAGTTACCAGACTTAGGCCTGCCCTATTTGGCGCATGCTTATCTTGGGGGAAAATACGGTCACGCGAAAACAAGAGTGATTGGAGCGCAGAAATATTTAAATATCATCTCAAATTTGAAATGTTTTGAGGCTGCTGTAAAGAAGTTTCTCTCAATATAAATAGGACGTTTTCAATTTTGTATCGATTTTTATGACTACCATCTCGGGTAAATGGTGTTAGACATGACAACATGACTTTTCAACGGTATGTCGATTTCTTATAGCGTTAATAACGAAGCTCGCCATCAGCAAGAGTGTTTGAAAATTTTAATTCACTGAAGTGCGTTATGCTGGGAGGTTCCATTATCTTGAAGGTGGGGAGCTTCACTCTAAAATGGGTACTTAGAAGAAAAAAATCCATTTCTGTATGTGTGATATTTGATCATATTTAGAGGCTTATTTTTAAACATCTATATATTCTTGTCACTGTATTTTAATAAAGAACAATTTTGTCATCAAATGTAAGAGGCTTTGTACAAAGAAACAATGATACATTGATTTGAAGTCCTGAGAAACTGATCGAACAAATTTAAATATTCAAAACTCTTTGAATACAATTATTCAAAACTTCTATGAAAATCATGAATATTTATACTCAAATGAATATTCAGGATCCAGGAGCCATTCAAGGAGTGTCTTGTTTCTTGTTTTTCGTTGCATAAATTAAGCACCAACATTTAAGGATATCAATGTAAATTGAACAAAATTTGAGAAATCTGAACAAAATTTGAGCTCTTCATAGGTTAAAGTGCTTTATAAACTCGATAGTGTGATATAATGCATGCTTAAAATGTCGAAAAGCGTCGCTTTTATTGTGGTATGCCTATTTTTACATTTTAAAATTTGTACATAATCTTTTGAATGCATGTTATGCAAGGAGGCCGAGGGTTTCTAGAATATGGATTTTTTGGGTCAAAATATACTAAGGGTTCATGTCTGTATATTTCATCTATTCATTAATTTTACCATAGACGTCTCAATCTGAAATTATCTTGTTTTAGCTATAGTGGTTGTAATAAAATAAACGACTTCTGGTATAAATTAAACTTGTGTGGGGAAACATTTCTCTTTTTTTGGTGTCGTATAATAGACCGATATGTGAAGCCCCGCCCACTGCTCACGCGGGGAACCAACACGTGCGCCTCTCCATTTTAAGTTCCATGATGCCATGCATTGATCTCCATATACACATGTACATGATGCTACGCCGCTCGTCCTAGTCTTTGTATGTGTCAGCATCCGGGGTGCGTCACGTGTCTGGTAAGTGCGTGGGACTTGACTAAAGGCTAGGCTGTGATTGGTCAAACGTCATTGGGCGGGTCTTAATAATGGATCGGTCTATCATCCGGTTCGTAAGAAGGTGACCGCGTCACGGCCCAAGCACCACTGATTACTTGCGCCCATTGGCTAAACACTCCACTTCGTACTACGGCGGTTCCAATAGTTACATGTATACGTACAATGCTGCTGCCTCTACTCTACGTGCAGTGGGCGTGGTTGGTTTAAGTTGAAATGACATCACACTTACGAACCGGTAACCGGGATTAGGAGCGTATCGGCTTTTACATGAAGACTGATGTAAAATACAATGTATGCACGCTTTTGAGCAATTTCAAAAGTGGAATTTTCACTACTAATTTTGAGTTCATTTAGAACATGATGAAGCATACGTGTAGTGCTCAAGTAAAAAGAAGGGGGAGTTTCGTATTTGTATTTGACACCGGGGCGCGGTTTTTGTAAAGGTCCGAATTGCGCCCGATATAAGGGCGCGACAGATTGGCAATGCTCTCAGCTCGCATGAAGGGTGTAAACCATAGAGCTATATTAAATTACAATCTCCGGGATTTGGGGTGATGGGGTAAAGGTCTTGTGGCCGGTTAGGGTGGGGATGGGGTACACCCCATTGCATTTACGCCGTAAAATTACTTAAAACTCAGTGATAGTAATTCTATTGCAATCAGTTCTGGGTTGGGCCCTGTTTATTGCAAATTGACCGGATTGAGGTGTGAAGTCATATTGCTTATTAATTTAATACACATTTAACAAAATGGGCGTCTGCAGGGGTGTCGGGGTGGGGTGGATATGTCCCCCACCCACCCTCGAAAAAATAATAAATTGAGAATATGCTAAGAAAGTACAAAGATTTCGGTGGAAAAAAAATGTGCTTTGCTCCCCCCCCCCCCCCGAAACAATTTTGGCGACGCCCATGGTACTGCAAAACGATGAATCGGTCCTGAAGGGGTGTGTTCAGGATGCTTCAAACTGGCGAAGAACGGAAGAAGCACAGTGGAACATTGACATCAAGCATGATTCATGGTCCTCATTGACAAGATTAAGATCGAACAATTAATATGAACAAGATGGATCGTTCACACATGACAAGGAGCAACTTCCACATTAAGCAACGTACAACGTGCTCATTGCGAAACGTTCACATTGCGAAGGTTCATAGTTGATATTGAAAAGGTTAACATCAAAATGTCGTTACCGGGCCACCGTACGATTTCGTGAACATAACTCTTTATTCCAAACTTCAGGAAATAACCTTTTTTTTTAAATCACCTACATTGGAAATCATACGTTTCTTGATTTCTGCTCAATAACAGCAAGCCAGACGGAATAATTTCAGGGGATTTTAATACGATATTAAATCCAAGTTGCAAGCTTTTTGATAATAGTACAATTTTTGTTTTAATTTTTTTTTTTTTTTTTTTTTTTTTTAAATCTTTAGACATTAAGTTCAAAAATACAATCTAAAATGTAAGCAGGGGCTGTCACGGAATGAACGACTGTCATCAAATGATGTGCTCATCCATACCCCTGATTACAAATTAAGGTAAAATTACAAAGGTTCGGATAAAAATCGATATTGATAACTGAAATGAGAAAAAAACCCCAAAAACATGAAAATATCGAGAAGACCCCCTCCACACCAAAATAGAAAAAAGGAATAAAACAATGGCCACCCACAGAACTTTATAAACTGGTCTGAAGACAATTGGAATTCCTATCCAAGTAAAAAGGTCCGAAAAAAGGGTTGATGAAAAGGGCTGAAAAAGAGCTGATAAAAAGGTGTGAAAAAAAGGCTGAAAAAAATCGCAAAACCCTACAAAACGGGCCACATGTTTTAACAATTACAAATTACAAAATAAACAGGACTGAAGTCAATTGGAATTCCCATCCAGGTAAAACGGGCAGTAAAATGGAGCTCATAAAAAGGGCTGGAAAAATGGCTGATATGACAAAACCCAACAAAACGTGCCACGTTATAACAATTGCAAATGCGGATCTATTATATGGGCCTATGCCTTTACTCACTTAGGCCTAATTGGCTTGACCATTTTTTCCATTTGAAAAAGCAAAGCATATTTCTTTCAGTGTCTTTAATTTCCACATCTTTCATTTCCCCACAAGTCACCAGAAACCTGCACGCTTCTTATAATTCATTCCGGAGACCTTCTTACCGGTGTTATTGTGCTGAGGTTGTTTCCGTGCTGGATTTGTATAATACAACAATGAGCATGCGTGATGGTTGAACAAGGCGAGACTCGAAACACAATCTCGCTATACATGTATATCACTTTTATTTGTAAACACGTCTAGAGAGGCTAAACATTACGATTACGTATCCAATTCCTATAATCATCAAGGTTCAATTGCTAAACACTTTTTGTTACTATCCATCCATACTCTAAACATATTTAAGCGTGTTTACAAAGTGTAAACAGGAAGTGTTTAAACTGTTTATTGCTAAACACCGTAGTTTGCAGTTTTGGAATTTTAAATTAAAAATTAATATTTTAATGAAAGATGGAAACTTTGGTGGATTATTTCCAGCAATTTATCACCGAGTTCGATGGGATGTCCTGCAAATAATGTTAAACTGCGAAGGGAAAAAAAAACCCAGGCAAACAAACACCCCAATGTTGCTGGTTGAGGGCCTAGGGGCGAGTCTAATTGAGGAGGAGGAGTCCCACCTCCTATCCCTGATGCCTTAAACATGTACATTCCCCGTGCTATTTCGAGTTTCTCCCCAAAACAATTAATAGATTTTTGTTCAGCTGCTATTTTCCTGGCAGTATAAAAGGTATTCACTGTTGAATGATACATCAAACGGAAAAACTCCACCGCCGTGTAGATATTGAATTATGATGTATTCTTCTTCTTATTATTATTATGGTTTTACATTCAAATTATGCATCTCGTGGAGTTAATTCTTTCAATAACATCCCTGCGACACGTAAACATCCTTTGCCTCCCACTCTTGCCAGTTTTATGCGCCTCTACAAGAACCCGATTGTTTAATATTTTATGGTACAAAAAATGTCTTGTTTTTGTCTTTTTACTGCCAGTGTAAAAACTGTGATTAACCTTGTCTAATTTTCTTCTAAATTATATCATGTTTTTATAATTTTTTTCTAATACTACCTAATGATTAATGTTTGTTGTAACTTCTGGACACCTTTGAAAAACACTGAAATAAATAAGCGGCACGACCATAATTCGGCTTCGTAGGGCGGCGGGGTCACATGAGCGCAAAATGAAAACCCCTTTTCCGAGTGTTGCAGACGCCCAAAATCGGAAAAAGACAAATTGAACATTTTTGGGAGAAAAATACATTACTTTTACTTTTTGAAGGGCTTGCACAATAATTAATATGCATGCACCAACTTTAAAAAGTGCACTCAAGTAAAAGTAAATTTTAAGTTTTCCAACTAGGCCCTACATGTATTTGTTTGGCATATTTCATTTTTTGGTTAACCTTCAACCTTTCTGGTTAATTTTTCCTGTCGATTCTTGACTCTCCTAGGTCCGCGAATTTCATTGTTATCAAAGTTAACACACCGTTTTCCAAGCCCCCCCCCCCAAGAAAATATTGGTCCCGCCTTCAGCGCTTTCAAGACACACAAAGCGCGCACATGCTTTTATTTTTTACGCATGCAAAATACATTCACTGGTACCCAGTCCCACGCGTTGCGTCCTGTCCAGTACATCGCACGTGTCGACGTACTTGTGGTTATATATTACCAGCGCAATCCCCGGGACTTCAATTCAAAATGGCGGACGCTGTGGACATAGATTTGTATGCCGACGACGTGGACCAAGAATTTAACCAGGTTTGTCTATTTCCCGCTTTTCCCCCTATGCAAACCGAAGTCGCTAGTTCTTTTATACATAAGGAATGTTGTGATTGTGATTAAGATACATAAAGCGTCGATGATTTTGAGTTAAAATGAAACAAACCTTTGTTGCAAATTGTCAGGTTGTTATTTTTAAAAATGTCGCTCCAAAAGCATTGTGCCCAGTTTCCGGACAGCAGCCTATTGATTTTTATCAATTTTGCAAATAGGCCTAGTACGTAGTAGGCATGTCAAACTCAGGTACAACCATAGTACAACTATAATAGAATACAGGGCCACTCCATTCTATATCCGCGCATCCATGGCTGCGTGGATGCGCAGTCGGTTTTCTATAGCGTCCTCTAATTAAATGTACTTCATGCCCACTCCGCATCCGCGTATCCGCACATCCAGGCATCTAATAAAGCACCCTCTATTGATAAAAATTTACTTCATGCCCACCCCGCATCCACGCATCCAAGACGGAATGAGTGGGTAGGTTGGGGTTGATTTTAGATAGGGAAATGAAGTAGTGGGTCCTATAGGGTAACGCAGTGGCTATTGTTACGGCAGCCGTAACGCATTTCCCATTTTCTATCGTTACGGTAGACTGCAACCTGGCAACTTTTATAAAAAAACATGACAAGAAAATATAAAATTAGAAGGAAAAAAGTGAATTTGAACTTTATGAAATTCGGACTTTATTTCCCTTTTAAAAAAAATCCTCCAAAGCCTCAGGTTAGAAAAGGAAAAAAATTCGAGTGCAAAACTGAGATTCGAACCCGCAACCTCGCGGTGCAAAATCCTACCCTCTATCGCCTGAGCTGGCGCACTGCTCGATAACACGTGTGGAAACAAATAATTATATACCTGCGTGCGTATCAAAAAAATATCGTAGAGGGCGCTAAACAACGAGTGCCGTAACGATAGCCACTTCGATAGGGTAAATACAGTAGAGGGTCCTGGGGTAGTCAGGTAGTCCGAGTAACTTGGACCCAACTTATCGCCTTTTTTAACATTTGGACATGGTCTGGCGATAGTGGGGTCCAAGCTAATACCGCGACCTGGACAACATCATCCTGTCACTGTCCCAAAAACCAACATTTTCCAACAAAAAACATCAGATTTCACCTTCAAAACGGCCTCCAAATTACTAGATATGCCACCTGAGGTACAAGTAGACATCGAAAATTAAGATGGTTGTACTGAAGTTTACTTACGATCCGGAAAAAAAGTGAAATTTTCCGTCCATTTCGGAGAGCTCCCCTCGCGATCTTGAACACGTTAAATTTCCGATCGTGTTTAATGTTTGAACGACGCGATTTCTTCTACATGCCCAGCGTAAATTCGATGGTTCCCGTATCCCGAGTGCGATTCCGTTACCGAGCACGCGCGATGCATCGATTATGATAATGAGTCACGTTTGTAAACACATACATGTGCATTTCGAACTGTAAAAGAGAATCGGGAACCAGGTTGAACTGGTATCCGCCATAAAAGCTGCGCTAGTTCCCAACTCCCTATTATCGTTTGAAATGCACATGTGTTTACAAACGTGATCCAGTCTACTCATTATCATAATCGATGCATCGCGCGCGCTCGGTAACGGAATCGCACTCGGGATACGGGGACCATCGAATGTATGCTGGGCATGTAGAAGAAATCGCGTCGTTCAAACATTAAACACAATCGGAAATTTAACGTGTTTAAGATCGCGAGGGGAGCTCTCCGAAATGGACGGAAAATTTCACTTTTTTCCGGATCGTAAGTAAACTTCAGTACAACCATCTTAATCAGTCCTTCATTTTTAAGGAGCGCGATCGCGCAGGCGCTCCTACTGTGCTCCTCGAACGGTCTCGAAGGAGCGCCAAAAATAGCGCTCCTCAGAAATCCAAAAGAGGGCTCGTCAAACACAGGAAGTTTAAAAATAAGAAGTGATAAAAACGCAAAGGAATTCAAATCTGAAGCTACACATATTTTTCGTTGGTATAATGCCCAAACTCACGTTAATATGCCGCTGGACATCGCTAAAAAATGAACGAACATCGAGCTCGCACGTACTGTAAAGATCGTGTGTGTACGTACGTACAGCGGTTGTACACTGTGCATGCACAATCTGCATATCGCATAGAGCTGCATGAAAACACGTGGGCCCGTACGTGCGAGTGCAGCAATGACTGGTTCCCGCTGCGCCGCGCACTAAGTCCCAATGAAGGCATACTGAAAATGCGGTAACCAGTCAATGTAATAGTCGCGCGCGGTGCAATGCACTGCCGTACAGTGTTTTTGCGTGCAGGCCGGACGGAATAGACATCGTAAAAATGCCAAGAAAACAACGATTAAGAAGGACGATCTTTGCAAGCTTATTCACAGAACTTGATCTCTCTTGTCTGTGTATGTATTTCCCGTGTTCATGAATTTATTTTGAGGAAGTTTTACTGGTATGTGAAGTGAAACGATGCAGCGTGTTTCACCGAAATCCTATACCGTAAAACGAGTCTCATTGCCGGCCCACCACACACAGTGCATCACAAACGCTCGTACTAGTGCGAAGTTCAGACGTTGTTAGCCAGTTTCTCGTCGTGACTAGCATTGTGTATATGGCATACTTGACCTGCATTTTCCATTATTTTTAAGATTATCGACGGCAGATATTTTCGATAAAACTTAAGGCACGTTTGTGTCATTTTGAGGCCCTTTTTGTAAAGCTTTCGTAGAGCAATTGAAATAGTTCAGGCTGAAACTTTCATATAATTTTAGTATTCAGTTGCTTTATGTGCCGTTTATTAACTCTCCATTTTCCCAGTATGATCAAGTGATGAACCAACTGACAACTGTATTAAAAAATGAAAGCCTAAGCAATAGTCAAACCTTTTATTAATCTCCATTTAGTTAGTTTTTTAAAATAAATTTTACCTTGTCTTACAGTTACAAAAACGAAAAAAGTAACGCAACTTGAGCATATGTTATTATGCAAAAACTAATAATAATGCAGCCCCTTGAATAAATCCTTATTTCAAAATAAAACAAAAACAATGGTAACCCGTCGTTTTACCGCTGTTTATCCGTAGATTTTAAGGAGAGCGATTTGCTCTCCTCAAATATTTGAGGAGAGCGATTTATAGCTCTCCTGGATTTTCTTTAAATGAAGGACTGCTTAACCCTTACCCTACTAGACCCTCCAAAGCATGCCAATATGTGCCTCAAGAAAATCTCCTATGTTTTTTGCATGGCCCTCCAATATCTGCCATGTCATTTCAAGGGTAACTGGACAGGCACTCCAATACATGCCACAGAGAACAATGAGAGTCCTCTGATAACAAAGTGAGTGCCCCCAGCTGGTCAGTATCAGGCACCCTCCAGGGCCTCCAACTCCTGCCAATTGGAGCCTTCACAGTCAAGATAGTTTATCCTCCAATATACTGCAGCTGGAGGGCATTGGCATAACCAACTGACATGCAGTAAACTACCCTCAGAGAGTAAGGGTTAATTATCGATCTCTACTTGTACCTCAGGTGGCATATCTAGTAATTTGGAGGCCGTTTTGAAGGTGAAATCTGATGTTTTTTGTTGGAAAATGTTTGTTTTTGGGACAGTGACAGGATGATGTTGTCCAGGTCGCGGTATTAGCTTGGACCCCACTATCGCCAGACCATGTCCAAATGTTAAAAAAGGCGATAAGTTGGGTCCAAGTTACTCGGACTAGTCCTGGGGTAAATAAAGCGCCCTCTATTGATGACTTCATGCTCATCCACCCCGCATCCGCGCATCCAAGACATCCCAAGCCGTCTCACTCGTATATTAGGCTACGTATTTGCCAATAATTCACTCTTTATACCGCCCTCTATTTTTCATACATCTACGTTCATACCGTACTATACCTGCGTACGCATAGGAGAAGTCTCATATATTTCAACGTTGCTTCGTTCTCCGCCCTCTATTTTTTTATACATCTACATTTGTACGTTCATACCGTACTATACCCGCGTACGCATAGGAGAAGTCTGATATACCAATGTTGCTTCGTTCTCAAAAGAGTGCCATTCTACTCAACGACCCCACTCTTCACATCGCATCCAACTACTAAAAAACGTTTTTCGGTGTGGCCCTGCATTCTATAGTTACTCCCAAACTCATTATGTTTCGCTTCCGATAATGGCCCATACACGAAATTATGGGTAAAAACAACATCGTTGTTTTGTTTTTTCAACACAAACTTTATTTTTGGTAAATTTGGTATCCAGGGAAAGCCCATGATGCATGCGCTCTGAATCCGGTGTCGTTTCGGCAAATTTTTTTTTTGGGGGGACCTCTTCTGAACGTAAATAGAAATTTTCACTCGCGATTTCCTCCAATTTCATTCGAAATTTTTGCAGAAACGAGTCTTATATAGTTTTTATTGATGTTTCATCATCAAATTTACTTGTATTTATTGAGGCCATCATCATTTAATGATTGAAAGAAAACCGGAGTAACTTTGGACTTCATTAGTGTTGTGCGAAGCCGGTCATACTAATAAGCGTCAACACTAACAGAAGCGTCAACACAGTGTCAACACATTGTCAACACCTTCAAAACGCATTCAAATTGACTAAACCAGTGTTCAAACCGTTCAGTATGGGCCAAAAAAAAAAAATTTGGCTCAAAATCAATAGGTTAAACATCTGAAAATTGCAATTTTCAGTTCAAGAAAATTGACTCTTAGTGCAGCTCCGAAATCGGCAGCCATGTTGCTTCGGGGGCAGCGCAGACGATACCATTACGCAAAAGGGGTGATAGCATTATACAATAAATCTACAAAGGGCGGTCATTACGTGTGAATCCGCATACAATATGATAATTTCATTTAACCAGCACACCCATATAAAATGGTGTAGTCCAAGCTCTGTGCGAAGGCAAGATGGCGGACAACGGCAGTGCTGCTTGTGAGATCATTTTTTTCACGTAAAAAAACTCTATTTTCGTAAACGAAATGTAGTCTAAACTTTACAGGTCTATGCCTTTTTTGTCAATTTAAAATGTGTTTTTGCAGTGTTGACGGTGTGTTGACGCTTCTATCATGTGTTGATGCTGTGTTGACGCTTATTAGTACGACCCTGCGAAGCACCTACGTACGTCATGTACGGTGTGGGTACAACGCTGAAACAGGCATTATGGCCGACAACTGCATTTGCAACATCGCCTCAGTGGATGTACATCGCCAAAATATAAATATAAAATTGAACACTTTTGATAAATTTGATTTAAATGTTTGATAAAAAGTAGCTAGTGTAAAGTTTTAAGAGCTCAAAGCAGTGAAAAAAAAATCACAATGAGCGAGTATGTGGTAATGACAGCTAAAGTAACAGCCATTATGTGTGTAGTGGAATTATATGCACTCTCAATTTGGCTGTTAATTTCTTCATTCTTATGCCCGCTGGTTTTGGACTTAGTCTTTTTATTCAGAGGACCATGCAGTAAACAGAGGGATTTGGTCGACTATTCACAGTTTTTATGATTGAATATTTTATTCATGACAAATAAATGAAAAATTTTTATACTCTTTTTGTCCAGAAATTACACCATATTTCTTGCATAAATATGTGAAACAACCATTTAATGTCTAGTTTTGATTTGGATTGACATAAAAATTGCTTTTTATCACCACATAGGCCTACACATTTAGCAGTTTGACTCTGAAATATGCGTCAAAATAGTAACATTGAAAACGCTCTTTTTCAAAAACTGTTTGACCAAAATTGACGATTCAAAAAGATTTTTTCTTCTTTTGCCAAGATCTTTCCAAAAATGTAAACAGAAAACTAATTTTCTTTTAAAAAAAATTGCTATGACATGTCTACAAAATAGGCCAGTAAAAAACAGTAGTTCGAATAGGGTAGTAGACATAGGCTATAGACATACATGTAGCTAAGTTACATAGCTGGCCTAACCCCATTAGCCCTGAATCCTCCAAAATCCTTTTTGCCAAAGTAGAGGAATTTGGAGGATTGAGGTTACGTGGCAAAAGTGCATTATTGATTTTGTAGGATGCACTTTTTCAAGGTCTTGGGCCGGACCTTGTGTTGTTTTTGCTCAGCCATGCATAAATATAGGCCTGGATTATGCTTGAAATCCTCCGTACTGCTCCAAGATGTCACTGGACAATCCTCAACACATTAACAGTCACTGCCGCAGGATTTTTTGACATCGCAAGTCAACACAACAGTTCATTGATTGTCCGTGCTTCTTTCATTTACTACAGGAAGCTGAGCAGTACAACAGTGGCTCAGGCCAGGTTGACCTGTATGATGACGTCATCACTACGCCGGCTGATGGAGCTCCCGTTAGTGAAAGGGTAACTAATGATTTGTCCAAGTAATATGTCGGGAAAGAGTGTAGTATCCAGACGCCTCTTCGTTGGTTGAGTACAAATTCTATGGAGAGTCAAGAAAATGTTCAAAGTATTTTGTAACAAAATTGGAAATGTTTCTCAGTCCCAGATTCATGTCTTTGCAGCATTTTTGCAATGACTGACCTCCATTGAGATGATATATGATGAAAATCGGGCATCAGGATGCAATATTCTTTCCATAAGTTGTTCCGTTTTGAATGCATGAAGGCTACAAGCACTGTGCGAAGGCAAAGGGGCAATACACATTCTGTGCCTTTTCCTTCGATTATACTTATTGCCACAATGTGAATCAGCCAAGCAGCATTGGAAGCTTATGTAGCACAATTCTTGTTTTTGAAGTGTAAACCATCCATCTCGGAGGATAAAATAAACCCCCAAAACCTTTTAATTTTCAATTTTTCATCTGCCACTTATTCATTCACAATAAACTTACAGTTCAATTTTTGGTTGAATAACTGCTTATAGTAAATGACTGGCTACGTGCGATGTTTGATTGTATTTTCTCCTTCTGAGATGTCATTTTTTTGGGTGTAATTTACAGAGGTTTTCTTCGGGGGATGCCCGGCCAAAGCCTGCATCAGCCACAGTTCAAAGGTCACCGTCCACATCTGTCCCATCCTACAGCGGCAAGAGGGTGTGCATGTATGTGGGCAACTTGACATGGGTGAGTGCAGGACAGTTTCCATTCAAATGTTGACATAGTGAGTCTCCCAATTCCGTTTTTGTCCGAGTCTTCAAGTGACACTTTGAGTATCCACTGTCAAGTATTGGGCATGTGTACAGGAAACTACTATTTGCCTTTGCAAATGAATTTTCAATAAACACAGCCAATTACTTACGTAGTTTCGTTCCATATGTCCCTTATGTGTGACAGTTCATAGGGAGGGTATGAACTGTCGCACATATGGGACCCCCCTCATACCCCAAGTACCACCCCGGGGAGGACACAAGCGGCCAGACCACCATCTAGTGGTCGTAACAGGAAACAGCGCCACCAGCCGACTGGTGGTGCTTCGTTCTGAGGATGACTAGTGAAACTAGTTGAAACGTAAACGAAACTACGTAAGTATTTGGCTGTGTTAATAGAGAATTCATTTACAAAGTTGAAAATTCACCAGCCTGATGAACTTCTTTCAGGATACTTGGGCCTTGTTCTGATGTCAAGTTCTTTTTGAGTGGACATGAGACCTACATTTCATGACATTTGGAATTTTGTCACTTTGGTACCGAAAGGAAGTGAAAGGAAGTGTAGGCCTAATGTCTGTGACACAGCAAATTAACCAACATATTTAATGACTGATTCAGAGAAATAATCCAAACCTCCTAGTCTGTAATCTCCTTGACCATTACTAGATAATTGATGTATAAGGTTTGAAAAACACACATTTCGGTTTATTGACTGAGTTCTTAAAAGCTCTGTCACGGACATGACATCATGCTAGAAGTGCTCGCGTCAGTGCAACAAGGTCGTAACTCCATTCTGCAACAAAGTCGTATCTCGCACGAATACGCTCCGTGCAACAAGGTTGTAACTTCTACATATCGCGACGTCCATTGACTTTGTGTGTTCATCCGGGTTATTTTAAGCGAGGTACCAGCTTTTGACATGACATCACACACCATTTTAGGGGATATGACCTTGTTGTACGGACACCACAATATCATCTAGTCATCTGGGGTAGTACAATTAGAAGCACAGTGATCAGGGGTAATAACTGCATATCTTTGAATGTTACTTCCCATGCAGTGGACCACAGATCAGGACCTATCAGACGCCATTCGTGACCTCGGGGTAAATGACCTGATCGAGATCAAGTTCTTTGAGAATCGTGCCAACGGCCAATCCAAGGGCTACTCGGTGGTGCACGTGGGATCGGATCCTTCTTACCGGACTGTCATGAACGGCCTCCCAAAAAAGTCAGTCAAACTTCCGTCTTGTTTGTTTCATTTCTTCCCACCGGCCCTCAATGTTATGAAATCCATCACTTGGCTTGCTTGGTTTTGATGAGTTTATTTCCTGTGAATTCTAAATTTCTTTTTTCAAATAGATCATAACTCCTAACCCCTAGGCCCATTTTGCTAGGAACCATCCTCAATCCTCCAGAATTGTGCTCTTTATGTTCAAATGAAGGATACCCAGTGCCTCAATCCTTCAAAATTGTATGACAGTCCAGCCTCAAAAATGCATTCATCCTCCATCCTCCAAAATCCTCATGTGCTGCAACACCATTTATCCTCAATCCTCCAAAATCCTCATGTTCCTCAAACACCATTCATCCTCAATCCTCCAAAACCGCCAGGAGGATTTTGGGGGATTGAGGTGGGTTAGGGTTAAACCAGAAGTAACCACTCTTGACCCTAACCCTGCCAGACGCAACACACTGCATCAGGTGTAAAAGTCTGTGGGACCTTGCTGCATTGAGCCATCAACACCAGTGCATAAACGGCCAATTCTGAGACAATGAGAGCTAGTCCCATTAAACAATGCCACAGTTGTATCCTGCTGTAGTTGGTGACCGTAGACTCTTAGGCAGTTTGGCATTGAGACTTTTGACCTTGAGACTTTTGGCCTGATGGATCTTGCTGCACTGGGCAGGCTTTTCATTTTGACTGGTGTTGCATGTTGCTGCGAGTAGCAGGGTTTCAAAGTCCTGGTGGGTTAGGGTTAATATTTTGAACGTTGCTGTAATATTTGTTGATAAATATTTCTGTGATATTTTTATAATTATTTTTTTTGTATTATCTTTAAGTTAACAATTCTGAACATTTCTGGATTTTGTTTGACCCCTCAGAGAGCTTCACGGTCAGAACCCCGTTGTGACTCCATGCAACAGGCAGAGCCTCTCACAGTTTGAAAATGCCTCTCGAAAGGGTGAGTCCATTAGGGCTGTATATTTCCTGGTTATTTGGAAGTGGGATACCAAAAATACCACAAAGCGTTATCAACATTGCTAAATTTTGTTGTGTGTTTTTTTTTTTTTGGGGGGGGGGAATGTTTTAGTGAAGGTGCTGTGCATGTACACATGATCCCTGTGCTAACCCTGTAAGCACAAAATCCCTATTTACACATAAGTCAAATTCCTTGCTTGTGGTTAGTCTGGGGTAGTTCGTGAAGGTTCATCATTCACGGTATTATGAATCATTTAATTGGACACACTTTGCATCTTCATTTGCGTCTTCCATTTGTAAAGTCTGTTTACGAGATCTTTTCCACATTTCTTTTCTTTTAGCCCAAGGAGGTCAGATGTCTGGCGACAGCCGTGCTGGACCGCCAAACGACCGCCGAGGTCCGTACCAGAATCGCGATGGTCCGCAGGGGGGACCTCCCCACCAAGGTCCCCCACCCCCAGGCAACCAAGGACCCCCACCGTTCCACGGTCCCAGTGGGCCAGGCCAAGGCCCACCCCCACCCTACGGGCCTGGGGGTGATAGGTTCCCTGGGCCTGGGGGCCCGGGGGGACCACCACCCCAGGGACAGTTTCCTCCAGGTAAGGCAAAGGAAAGACACAAAACCAACTTAGAAATTTGATCTATCCGATGACCAAACTTACAAACCATTCCTGAGGAGGCACCACGCTTGCCTACAATTAGTCTTCAGGCTGAAACTTTTCCTTGTATCCACTGATTTCCTCGTTTTTTTAATTCTCATGATTACAAATTGACAAACACTGTTCAAAGTCTTGTGTGTTTTGGAATTTCCTCGTTTTTTCTAAATTCCCATTTGCATGCCTGAGTCTTGGGTCATCTCGTTGTTGTATATTAAATACCTGATCACCTGCAGCAAGAGGGCTTAATCACAAGGACTTGCTATCACCCACAAATCGCTATCGCAACAATGTCTTCGGAATCTCCCCCTGAAGAATGGGAGAAACTGATGTGCACGCGTTACTTCTGCAAGCAAATACGGTCCATTTTCTTCGGTCGCACACATACTCCATGACATGAAGTTGCATAAAAAGTCTGGTAGCATCTTGAAGGCTGCTGGCTGAAATTTCGGAGTTTGGTTCGGAGCTAAGATGCAAGGTGCTGAATGTGGACTGCATACATAAGGCAAAACAGTTCGTGCGCATGAGACAACATCTACAACATTCCCAAGATGATGTTGTGAAAGCGGTTTGTGTGTGATAGTGGTTCGTTTTCATAAATCCTCTCTTACTGTGGATGATAGCGTATCCAACATCTACAACGACGTCTTGACTCCAAGACCAGCCCACAATTGGAATACCTGCTCACAGGGCTCCGTTGGCCACTAGGGGTTTCAAATTACAAATGTGGCTCAAATTACCCAACAACATACAATAATTGTTAAATAGATTAACAGTGGCAAAATGTGATTGGACTAGCTCCCATTGTCTCAAAATTGACCTTTATGCACTAGCGTTGGCCAAATGCACGATGTCCCTCTGATTTTTACACCTGATCCAATGTGTTGTTTAGGACTGGGTGACTGTTGAAGACTCACTTCAGCTTTGTCTTCTATTTCTTGACAGGACGTGGCGGTGGGCCACCACCACCCCGTGGTCCCCCACCCCCAGGCCCCCCTGGGCCAGGGTTCCAAGGACCCCCCAGGGGACCCCCTGGCCCTCCAGGCCCCCCTGGACCGGGCATGCAGAGGCCTCCAATGGGTGACAGGGGACCCCCTCCACAAGGGGTGAGTATATCATCTAGCTGCAAATAAAATGGATTATTCTTGTAATGAAATGGACAGAAATTTCGTTCATTAACCCTCCTATGGAAACATGCATTGTGAGCCTTGGGTCAATATTGGTCAAGACCCCCATTGGTTTGTACACAGAATGCCAGGAGGTGAGGAAGACAATTTTGACCGTTTGTGACATATTAAATAGTAGGAGGGTTAGATAACATTTGGTACTTGTGGTTTGTTTAAATTTTGTGTGTGTAGATCTTTACATCTCTTAAAATGCTGAAGCTTGCGGGGACGTGCTTTACTTAAACCCAAACTGTTGATAACAGGTTAACCCTCCTAGTGGAAAGCCCATACTCACGGCAACATGTAAAAGCCTTTAAAATCCTGCAGGTCAGTTTCAGGTGAAGGGATATGAAGTGTTAAAGTAACTGTGTCACAAAAGATCGATTACTCCGTAATTAAAATGGACAGATATTTCATTCATTAAATAACATTTGGTACATTTGTGTCACACTGCACAAAAAGACAGCACTGTGGAGAGCAGTGAAGCATGACTGAATCTGCCTGCTTGACCACACAACAGAATTGTGCAGGGATTTGAAGTGTTATCCATACTCCACACAAGATTATCCCCAAGGCGTTTCTGTGAATTTTACGTACTCCACACAAGATTATCCCCAAGGCGTTTCTGTGAATTTTACGTACTCCACACAAGATTATCCCCTAGGCGTTTCTGTGAATTTTACGTACTCCACACAAGATTATCCCCAAGGCGTTTCTGTGAATTTTACGTACTCCACACAAGATTATCCCCAAGGCGTTTCTGTGAATTTTACTTCAAGCATTATGCTAACTTTGCTCCACAGGGACCAGGCATGCACCGTGGCCCACCACCCCCAGGCCCCCCTATGCCAGGACCACCTCCCATGGGGCCCTCCCAGGGACCTCCAGGACCTCATCATGGCCCACCTGGACCACCAGGCCCGCGAGGCCCCCCCATGCATGACCAGAGAGGACCTCCACCACGTGAGTTGAAAACCACTTCCCTGGTATACAGGCCGGAGATTAACCCCTAACCCCATACTTCATTTGACTAAATAATGGATCAAGTCCATCAAAATCTATCACTTACTCTGCTTCACATACATGACATAATCAAATCAACCACTGAAGTGCTGGTGGATTTCGATGGACTTAGTACACATGGCTTATGACAACAGCAATACAGGATGCTAGGCAAAATTCATCGAATTCCCCAGCAGTGCTCCAGGCCCAAGTCCATCATACTCCATCAATATGTTGTCAAACCAGGCCTGCTGGACCAAGTCCCCCCGAAATCCAACAAAGTGGGGGATGAATTTTGATGGAATTGGTAAGGTTGGGGTTAATAACATCGGAAAATTTTGAACACTTAAATTCAATGCTTGGCAATGTTTCATTGGAAATTGTGTTTGGCTTTGTAATAAATACTCTGTGCGATTGTAAAAATGTCAAGCTTTTCTACACCATGGCAAATGTCTGTGAAATTTAATTGAACATTCATAAGGAGATAAAGAATTTTTTTCACACATTGATAAAATGTTTGACTTTGGAAAAGTAACCTTTTAGTGGGGTCACATACCCATTAATAGCAACATTTGATAACTCTCAAAGATTTCCTCCGTCTCTTTATTATGTTCTTACCGTTGTTTCCATTTTTCATTCCACAGACCCCCAAGGTCCAATGGGCCACCAGGGGCCCCCACCCCAAGGCCCCCCTCCGCCCCACATGGGTGGGCCCAGACCCCCACATGGCGGACCCCCTGGACCACCACCTCAACAGGGGCCTCCTAATTTTGGAGGACCCCCTAACCAGGGTCCACCTATGGGACCCATGCACCAGCAAGGGCCACCCAACCAGGTGAGTGGTCTCCTCGTAACAGGGTAGCCTGTTATTTATGCTCAGCCGTGTATAAATTTAGGCCTATAATGTACTTGAAATCCTCCGCACTGCTCTAGGATGTCACTGGCTCTGCGGTCATCCCTCCAAGGACCACATTCAAGAAATAACAGATGATTTTGCAGGATTGAGGTTGCATCCTGGCAAAAATGCCTAGGGAATTAGGGTTAAAGGCATATAAGACACTTTGCTTATCATGCATTTTGTTCGTTTAAAGGTATAGTCCATCATTTGCAGCCATCCGAAAAGTAACTGGCGTATTTATTATTGAAAAACAAACTTGGTTGAAAGATAGTAAGGGGACTAAACTCCCTGTGAAATTATTCTTTCTGGGAAGCTGTCATTTTGAAGAAATCAACGAAAGAAGGCATTTCCAATGGTGATTCTTAAGAAGCACTGTAGGAAAATTTAAATTAGTAGTTCGTTTTGTTATTCAGCGCAGCGCGCACAAGTATTGGAACGACGCACACGCGCGCGCGGTTGTTATAATTTGTCGGATCAGTGCGCGACGTCGCGCATAGCTGCAATTCAAAACAATTCAAAACATGATTCAGTAACTTTTGATTTGAAATTGAGATCTTAGAATGCTGTTTTTCTCTGAATGTACAGCTGAAGCTTAGCTGAAACTTCATCAGGTTAGTTGCTCAGTATCCTTCATTAGATTTTGAACTCTTTTGTTGCTTCAAACGAACAAAATGCACAAATTACAAATGATGGACTGTAGCTTTAAGAATGTTCACAACCTAACCTGTTGAAGTTTCAGCTCAGTGGATATTACACTTTTCGAGAAAACTGACAAACCATGCACAACCTTTTCATCATGAAACACAATTGACTGTTTGTAGGAAATCACCTACATTTATTGATTTCTACTAAATGACAGGAAACCAGATAATTTCATGGGGGTGTTTAGTACCAGTACGATCTTTAATCCAAGTGAGCTAAGTCTTTCGATAATAATTTGGTAGGTTACTTGTGTGATAAATAGAAGATTACCTCAAAGGAATTTGTAGTGCGGGTGCTAACTCTACGGGAAAAAGTGGTTTTGCAAAACTTGAAGGTTGTAAAGTGCAGAAGACTAGGAGGATTAAAGCTGCATGCTTCTAACATTGTTCATTTAACTGACACTGTTTTTTTTTGGTTCTATAGGGGCCACCACCTCAGGGGCCACCTCACCACGGTGGACCTCCCCAGTTTGGTGGACCACCACCTCAGCAAGGAGGCCCTCCTATCCGCGGGCCTCCTCAGGGCCCGCCCCCTCATAACATGCAGCAGGGACCTCCACAAGGTAGGTCTGTTAGTCAGCATCACAGATGAGGTTTTAGTGAGGCTTTGGATGATCCAATGAGGTTTAATACAGTGTTAAATACAAGAAAAGGTTCCTGTGAGGTTTATGGAGATCATCTTACTCGCCTCCTCCTAACATGCAGCAGGGACCTCCACAGGGTGTGTGAGGATCACAGATGAGGTTCAGTGAGGGTTTGGATGATCTAATAGGGTTAATAATACAGTAATGAATACTAGGTGAGGTCATGGAGATCCTCATACTCTGAAACCCTTGTTACCTCATGCCTAAGGGAAAGCAGTAACAGGTCCTTTTCATAGTAGAAATGAATACTAGATGAGGTTCTTCTATATCTGCAAGTGGGATATGTTGAGGTGCATGAACCTCGTGTGACGCTGAGGTATAATACAGATTCTTCTTTACACAAGGTTCTAAGTGTGTGCCATGAGGTATACTAGCCGTATAACCTTGCAGTATTTATGAAAAATAGGCGAGGTTCCTTTTTAGGTGCAATTAACCACATCTGTGAATTAGCCGGGAGGTTGATTAAAGTCCTTCATTAAAGCTGTAATGAATTTATTGAGCGTTTCTGACAAAACCCTTGTCATGAAAACTATTAAGATGAGGTTATGTTGACGTGCTTATTGCTCCATGCAAACAGAAAAGGAGATTTAACATTTTTAAGGATTAAAATAATCAAATTGATTTTTTTCCTTCTTTTTTTAGGGCCTCCTCCGCCTCGTCCAGGCCCGCCAATGCAGGGAGCACCCCCACCCATGCAAGGTGGACCCCCCATGCAAGGTGGCCCCCCAATGCAAGGCGGCCCCCCCATGCAGGGTGGACCCCCCATGCAAGGAGGACCCCCCATGCAAGGAGGACCCCCCATGCAGGGTGGACCCCCCATGGGACACGGTCCTTCTATGGACAACGCCCCACCCATGCAAGGTGGACCTCATGGCCCACCTCCCCAGCAGCAACAACAAGGGGTTCCCCCCATGCATCCCGGGGGCGCGCCCTCGGGCGGGTTTGGGGCGCCTCCGATGCAGCAGGGACCCCCTCCTCAGAGCAGTGGTCCTCCGATGGGTCAGGGTCAACCTCAGGGGCCGTCGCCTCATGTCAACCCGGCGTTCTTTCAGGGGCAGCAAGGACCTCCGCAGCCTGAAAGACAGGTAAGGAATTTGTTTCAAACCTCTATTTCAGCTTAGATGGCAAAATTGCGTTACTGATTTTGTAGGATGAACTTTAAGTAAGATTTGAGGCTTTGCATGGTGAAGATACTAAATAATGAAAGGTTTGCGGAAACACCATGTGCGAATAATTTCTCAACTAAGAGAATGGTTCTGAAAAGAACCAGAGGTATAAACTCGACGTTCCGGTCAGTATGCTCTGACCGTCTTCAGGAGAGTGCCTAAACTCTAAGAAAGAGTTTAGGCACTCTCCTGAAGACGGTCAGAGCATACTGACCGGAACGTCGAGTTTATACCTCTGGTTCTTTTCAGAACCATTCTCTTAGTTGAGAAATTATTCGCACATGGTGTTTCCGCAAACCTTTCATTATTTAGGATGAACTTTGTCAAGGTCTTGTTTTTGCTCAGCCATGCATAAATATAGGACTGGATTATGCTTTAAATCCTCCGTACTGCAGCGCCAGGATGTCACTGGCCAAGCCTCAACATATTGACAGTCACTGCCGCAGGATTTTGCAGGATTCAGGCAGTGGTCACCCCTCCATGGACCACATTCAAGAAATAATGGAGGAATTTGTAGGATTGAGGCTTTGGTTATTTTCCCTTGAAGCCTATTGGAGGATTTTGCAGGATTGAGGCTACATCCTAGCAAAAAGGCCTAGGGAATTAAAGTTAATATACATTTATTTGCCAACCACCAGTTGGCACTTTTTGCCAAATGAAAGCTCAACGTTGCAAAAATAAAGACAGTTAGTAACGTCGTGGCAAGTGCAAATATGTGGCAACATTTCATGAGGTACCATCCATCAAGCCCTTCTGTAATGAATCTGTGTTTTTGTGTGCATTGACAGTAAAATTCCCTTTCAATATTGAACAAGTGAAGTTGCAATTGTCTTTGTGCAGAGCTATGACCAGGGTCCGTCTCGTCAGAGCTTTGAGAGGGATCAGTACAGAGCCTCAGCAGAACGGTGAGAACCTCAGACATGTTCCTATTCTCAAATATCTGGACTTTTTACGACAAGCTCAAATTAAAAAAAGGTATACAGACTAACTGGACCATGTAGAACGCCATGGTCCAGTGGTTATGGTGTTTGACTCATGTACGAAGGTGCGTGGGTTCGAACCCGGCCAGGACCATGGTGTTTGTGCCCTTGGGCAAGACACTTAACTACAATTGCCTCTCTCTACCCTGGAGTATACATGGGTACCTGTGAGGGTCGAGGACCGATTGAGCGCTGATATCGGCTGCCGTGTGGTCCCATGGCGTGATGAACGGGGGAATAATTGTAAAGCGCTTTGAGATCGTTGATACGATGGAAAGCGCTATATAAGCACAATTATTATAATTATTATTATTAGACTGTAGAATTATGTAGAATTCTGCATTTTTTAACGACAAGCAAGTTTGCAACTATTTGTCCCTGGCCAAGATAATAAGGCAGCCACAGCCAACCTTGCCTAAATTTGGGGTCCACTTTCTTCCCCTGTCCCTATACATCAGACTTCTATGATTTTATAATTCTGATGCACTCCTTAATGCAGTCATCCTCCTAGAGTGATTATGAATAGCATACTACCTTCCCAACAAATAAAATATGTTTGAAATCATTCTTAATGATACTTGAATGGCAAATTACAAAGTAGCAAGGTAACTGGGACACGAAAATGTCACACTTTGCACACTTAAATTATAGAACGACTCTCAACATCAATTTCGCATTGTTTTCCATTTAATTGGACCCTTACCCTCCGAAATCCTTTAAAATGTAGGATTTTGCAGGATTGAAGAAGGCAGAGCCTGCCCATGATGAGGGGCCCCCCCCCCCCCAAAAATAGTTCTGCTTACGGTTACCCTTCCTACCCTATTTTGACAGCCCTACAGTAATTTTTTTGGGGGAAAAATGAGGGAAAACCCCCCAAAACCATCAATTGCTACCTGTTACCCTTGACAACACGCAGACACCTCCATATGATCGTACACAAAAAAATTGCCAAAAAAAATTCCCTACCTACCCTATTTTCGAATGCCATGACGATGTAATCGTAAGCAGAACTGTTTTTTTTTTTGGCCGTATGTGGGCTGGATGTTGCTTGAAGGTTTTCAATTGTGTAAAGAATGCACTGTTAATTCCCACACATTAACCTAACCCACCAGGGTATGTTTTCTAGAACCCTGCCAAACGTAGCAACATGCAACACCTGTCCAAGTGACAAGCCTGTCAAATGTAGCAAGATCCATCGGGGAAAAGTCTCAAGGCCACACTGCCTCAGAGTCTGTGGTCACCGCACGCAGCAGGACACCACTGAGGCATTGTTCAATGGGATTAGCTCTCATTGTTTTACAGCTGGCCATTCATGTACTGGTGTTGATAGCTGAATGCATCAAAGTGCACCAGTTCTTTTCCACCTGATGCACTTTGCTGCGTCTGACAGGGATAGGGTTGAAGGTTTATGGGGGAAACGGGAAGGGTCCTTGCAGATATGACAGAGGGAGTTAGGGTTTAAAGCAACAGATCGACCAAGCCTCGCCCCTTGATGCTTTGACCAATCACAGCCTTGATTAATGTCTCATATGTGTGCACAAGAGTCTGGCGATCTGATACACCGTGCCCTCTGGAGACATGCACACAATAGGGAACAAAAGATTGTATACGTCTCCACAGGGCAATTTCTAAAGATGAATACGTCTCCACAAAGTTTTCATGAAATAGATATATGGATTTTACTCAAAAACTAGGAATTTCCAAGGTGGGTTGATTTGTCCAAGTGGAAGAGTTTTAGAAAAGGGATATTAAGTCCGTATATCAGCCCAGGAAATTAATTCTGGTTAAAATAGGAGCATTTTGAAACTACACTTTCAAACTCGAAAACTTTACTACATGAGAACAAAGAAATGTCTCCACAAGGATACCAATTTCAGTATGTCTGCACGCGCATGTGCATAGGATGGTGCTGCTGGAGCGTACAGTGTGGCATTGAAAGAGGGGGTGGGCGGGGCAGTGGGCGGGGCTTAACAGATCGGTCTATTGGTTATCAGTGTTGGTAACAAGTCTTTTCCTCATCACTCCCTAGTAGCCAAGGCTCAGCGCCTCCAGCAGAGAACGGCAACTTCATACGGAGGCAGGACGGCCCACCGCCGCCTCAGGCTCCTCAGATGAGCGAGACGGAGTTTGAGGAGATCATGAGCCGTAATCGTACCGTCTCTAGTAGCGCCATCTCAAGCGCTGTCATGGATGCCAGCAAAGGTGAGGGTTAGTGTACACTGTTGTGACATGGTCCATGGCGTTTCGCACACCATGGCGTTTCGCACACCATGGCGTTTCGCACACCATGGCGTTTCGCACACCATGGCGTTTCGCACACCATGGCGTTTCGCACACCATGGCGTTTCGCACACCATGGCGTTTCGCACACCATGGCGTTTCACACACCATGGCGTTGTTCTCCTGGTTCTCCAGTTTTCCTCTCTCTGCAAAAATCCACACTTTCGATCTTGCTGTACTGTGGGTCAGACATGCTTGGTAAGGCGCCTTAACATGCCTTTGGTGTGACCGTGTTGTAGCTGCATCCTTTGCAATTCAGCGTCTACTTCAAGTAAGGTTGATTAGGCACCCCCCCCCCCCAAATATCACAACATGTTTTGTTATACTGGCTCTTGGATGATTAGTGCTTTTACAAGTACTGTCATAGATGTCAGCAAAGCCGAGCGTGTGGTCTGCTGTGAAGTGGTCCATGGTTTCCTCCCAGGGGGTGTTAAAAACCCTCGGACCAAATCACAGCAAGCAAACAAGCAATTAGTGCTATCATGGACACCAGGGCCCAATTTCATGGAATCCGTAACGCCGAATTTTGTGCTAACGGCCCGCAATTTTGTGCTAACCGAGCTAGCACAAAAATTCTGCGCTAACCTTGTAAGCACAGAATCCTTAGTTACGGGAAGTACGCATGCGCACAAGCCAAAATTCCTTGATAACCTGTGAAATACGCTAACCATTAGCGCGGAATTTTCCGCTATAGTTAGCGGCGATTTCTCGCTAACCGTTACGGGTTCCATGAAATTCGGCCCAGTAAAGGTGAGCTTTATTGTAAAATGCTTATTGTATGTCAAGTTCTCCATGGCGTTTTGTTAACCCGAAGGGCCTTAAAAAACCCATGGACCTTATCCAAACAGGCAACAGTTGTTTTGTCAATCCATGTCTAAACCTTTTACCCTGACAAACATATCTACATAACTCAAGAAGAACTTTGATTGAACAATGCGAGCGATTCCCAATTCAGTGCCCCACCAAGAGGCTGCCCTGGAGGGTCCATTTTTTTCAAGTTTACGGTCGACACAAACATGGCCGACTTCTCTTGATTTGAACGAACGTCAGGAGATAACTTGAGGAAATTTTTGATAGATCCGGGCATAGCATTCTGCCGCCTCATAAAAAAACACCTTGATCAAACATCTTGATCAAAAACATCATGATCAAAAGAAGAGAAGAAAGAAAAGATACTCAAATCATATGCTCACAAAACTACTGACCAGAAAAAAACTAACAATTTTATTAAGCATCCTGCGTTATGGCAAATTTGTCGACCCTCTCCCACAATGCACTGCGAAAAATGGACTCTCCGTGGCAACCTGTTGGTGGCGCACCGTATTGGGAATCGCCCGTATTGAAATTTCTCCCCTTTTTTTAATTTAGGAAAATTTTTTGTTGTTGTAATTTTAGGAAAATTTAATTTTTTAATATTAGGAAAATTAAATTTTAGGAAAAATTAAATTTTAGGAAAAAAATAAATTTTAGGAAAAATGAAATTAAATTGATTTTTATTATTAATTGGGTGATTGTGTTGTTTTCCCGCATACGTTCAGCCAATTACCCCAGTGCCATCGAGACCTTAGTGACAGCCATTTCACTCATCAAGCAGTCCAAGGTCTCCACCGACGACCGGTGTAAGGTCCTGGTCAGTTCACTCCAGGATTGCCTGCATGGCATCGAGTCTAAGTCCTACGGCTCCTCATCCAGGTAAGACTCCCTGCTTAGCGAAACCTGTCAATCGAGAAAAGTACTAAGCATTTTTTTGCTTGTTAAGTGAAAATCAGCTTGCAAGCAATTACAAGCGACACACAGTATGATTAAAGGGCCATGTAATGGATTAAAAAAATGTTATCCTTGAAATGTATCATTGTGTTCATCTCACTTTATTTGTAATCTTCATATTGCAATTTTAAGGGCGTCTTGGTGGCTTTTTTGGTTTATATGCTGATATAAATGTCCATATTTGTGAGCTAAACTGTGATGTCATTCAAGGCAGAAACTTCAGGTACACAACTGCTTCAGCATAAAAAGTCACCAGAATTTTTAGGAGTTTGCTGTGGTTATTTTTCTGCTTTCATTGGTTCCTTGTTTCAATATATGACAGTAAGACAATGAGAAAACCTTCTGCTCAAATGTTTCAATAAGTAGAATTTTGGTTTACAATTTGAAGAGGAAAACCCTAATCTATAGAGTGTGTTCTTAAAGTGACAACACAGCAACAACACCTGCAGTTGCCATAGAAAAGCATGACACAGTTTAAATGTTGACAAAAGAGCACTTGGCAAAATGGGATGTGTCGTAGTTTTCATACATTTCAGAGGAATGGATATTTGATACAAATATGCATCAGAGTCATATTCATTTCATGGCCCTTTAACCCTAACTCCCTTGGCATCTCTGCTAGGATGCAACCTAGATCATCCAACTGCCTCCATGTAAAAAAATGCATACAGCCTCAATCCTCCAAAATCATCCGTTATTTTTTGAATGTGGTCCTTGGAGGGGTGACCACTGCCTCAATCCTGCAAAATCCACCAGCAATCACTGTCAGTATGTTGAGGCAGAGCCAGTGACATCCTGGAGCAATGCAAAGGATTCCAAGTATAATCAAGGCCTAAATGTATGCATGGCTGAGCATAAACAACACAAGGTCCGGCTCAAGACCCTGACACAGTGCATCTCCCAAAATCAGCCAAACATTTTTGCCATGTAGCCTCAATCCTCCAAAATCCTCCATTTTGCAAAGAGGATTTTGAAGAATTGGGACGGTTAGTGGCTGATCACCCGTTGTTGTGTCTATGTGAGTGATTTTTAGATGAAGGGGAAATATGCTTACTAAAGGCAAATTCTGGAATTGAAAGTATTCTTTATTTTTCCAGCCAAGATTGTGGATTTAAAAAAAGTATTAACATGAAATTTTGGAAAGCAAGAGACCTGCAGATTGATGGTTTGAATTTTTTTGCAACAGCTAATAAAAGTTTTCCTGCAAGTAGTGCAGAAAATATTCCAAAACTAAAGCCTAGCAGAGAACTTTTTCCCACAACTGTCTGAGAAAACTAAGGAGATGAGGCCTAAGAAAACAAAATTGTCTTAAGAAATATACCAAAGGTAAACAGTCCTGGGCTAATTTTTCAATTTCTCCTCTAATCCTGATCGCAGGCGCAAAGAACGGAGCTCACGGGAGCGTGACGAGAGCCGTCACCGCAACCGCGAGTCCAAGAGCTCTCGTCACAAGGAGCGTCGGGAACGATCACGTAGCCGGGACCGTGAGTATCGCGATCGCAGCCGGGAGCGCAGCAGCAACGATTACTCCTCGTCGACTAGAGAGAGAGGGGACCGAGAAAGGGAGAGGGATCGTGACCGTGATCGCGAGTATCGCCGCCGCTAGGACGTCGCATCCTGTTAGCGACACTGAGGTAGGTCTGCATAATATCCCAATTTTGAATGATCACTGTGTATTTTTTTAGAAATGATGTGTCCTTTTTCTGTTGCTTTTGAAGAAACATCTAGTTTAAGAATTTAGGGATGTTGGCACACCAACAGAATCGTCCGCCAGAAAAGGTGGCATCTACTCTTTAGGCGATGGTCTTCTTTTTTGATTGATTGATATGTGCGAAGCGTTTATTACGTTAACCTTTAATCCCAGATAGAGGTACGTATAAATCATCAATTGAATGTTAAATTCATCATCAGGAGTATTCATCATCAATTAAATAGCAGCCCCGAGGTACGTATAAAATGGCATGCAAAGGTAACATTTCAAGACTTTTTAAAGTTTTTTTTTTTATCCAATTTTTGTTGTTGATTGCATTAAGAGTCTGAAATTCTTTTTTCTTGAGAGCACTCCAATAATAGTAGTTTTGGTGTCAATAATTTGAATATTCGAGTTTATTAAAATAAACTTAACGCATTGTTCAAAGAATAATTCGAAGCTTTGCTTACCGTTTAAAGAAGCAGTTAATGTTTGTTGATAATCCCGAATGACTAACTGTTCTTATTGTCCACAGGGCAACGTGCAAGTTTTTTTCCACAGAAGGTCCGTGAATGCTACATTTCAATGCAACGTCTGTTCTGACAATTTATTTTCTTTTTGTTGCAGGATTAAATGACAAGTGAATATTTTATCGGTTTTCAGTGAAATGAAGGGTCCCTTTTCCATTGGAAAAAAACAGTGTATGTTGTATGTTGTAGTTTTATATTTTGAATGTTTCAGTGGTAAGATGGAGGTAACCGTTTGGCAGATTTACAAGTGTGGTAAGGAAATAGGTTGAATTTCACTTGTGCCCTTGTATACATTTTCATGGTTCCCTGCCGCTCTGGAAATCAGGCAAAACCTTGAAAATGAGTTTCCATTTTTCCAGTCGGGGAAAACTTGGAAAAAACACACAAAAATCAGGAAAAAGTCTTTGGTATGCATCAAGCGTTCTGTGCCATATGTCGTAGTTGTGTCAATCGACTGACTGGCTATGATGGCTTTGGAAATTTCGAAATTTCTTTTGGAAAATATCAGAGAAAGTCAGGGAATTTTGTTTTCATAAAGTGCTGGGAACCCTGATATTATAACCCCATCAATCGCAAATTCGACAGACTGAATTCTTTCCTAATACGGATGTGTAGCTTTGTAGGATAATGATGGTATATGTAGTTGTGAGTTGTTATGTTTTAAAACCCACATTTTATCCCCTACATGTAAATATCGGCCTTTTTGAGGTTGTATGTAAACCAAAGAAGCTGTAGATTATACAGATATGTAAGCATTGTTTGCAGTTTGATGTTTAATTCTTTGCTGTTTGATTTTTTAGAAAAGCCCATCTTTCTGTGCAGACAATTCATTTTGTTGGTTGAGATTGTTTTTTTGATTTTTTTTGGTCATTCAATTGTGCTCTTTTTTCCCCAGATTGCCCCAAAATAATTACTCTGTAATTTTTGTGTGCGTTCTTTAATATATTGTTCAAATTCTTGTGTCTGATGTATTGAGGAAAGACCTCAAGAATTTGGGGTTTGTATTCACATGTTAAGTCTAAAAAGTGAGACTAAATGATTAGTATTTCAGTATGGATGTTTTTTGAGTACAAGTCATAAATATTGTAGAAAAAACCCCATAAATTCATTCACACCAAGCACATTTTTCACATAATCAGTACGAGTACAATGCACGGCAAATGGAACTCACGTCCAGTATATGAGTATAGAAGTAAATGTTTATGTACATGAAAATCTTGGTTGTAGTTTATATCATTTTTCGCTTAGTATTAGCACAATCAAAATTTGTTAATCTTGAGCACTACAACATTTTTGCGTGGGTGGGGGATAAAACCGCATTTGACAGTAACACAATCAGTTGTGAGTTTTTGTTCGCAATTTCATAGGGTGAAATAATGGTCGAACACCAAACCTAATCCGACTGTTTTTAAACATGCCCAACATATAAAAAATGAAAATGTTAATAAAATTGTGTATAGGCCTATTACATGAATTAACAGTGAGTGAAGGAACTGTACACTGTATACGACACCTCAAACTAGATTGTAGAAGTTTATTTTGTACCAAGTATTTTTTGTCTAATTTCAATTGAGCTTTTTCAAGCCAAAACTTTAGCAAGTGAGAAGTTTGAGAAGCTTATAACATCTAAAAATGAGTAAAAAATATTGGAGCTCGGTAATTCCTAATAGTGTAAATGGCTCAGTGTGTATACAACAAAATTTCTTTTCTTTTTGTGACGCGTAAGAGAAACCGTGTCAACAATTGAAAACTTAATTTCAGTAAATTTGTAACTTTTCATTAAAATTAATGAGCCTATGGCTTAGAGTTTCCCTCATAATATCAGAGGAAAGCAAGCATTATCATTACCAGTATTAGGAGGGTGGGAGAATGTATATTGTAAGAGATGAATATAGGAAAATTAGCATTTCGTAAAATAAATTACCTGTAAATAATATAGCGAAGGAATTTTGAAGAATATCTTGATTTTTTTTTACTCGTATGAGATTCTTGACCAGACTAACAAGTACAAAACCATCTCGAAAATAATAACCTAAACAATAAGCAAGTTATTTTGTTTTAAAATTGGTGCCAGAAGTGGGATCAACTCCAAGCTCAAAGGATGTGTTGCTTCCTAACTGTTATTAGCAGTTCTAACAATTTTTAGACGCTTCACTAAAAACCTGTATAATATATTTATTTATTAATTTTTGTTGGGGGGGGCTGGGATTGGTACATGAAATTGTGTCTTTTGTTCACGCGTATTGCTTTTGTATCTTTGTGGAAAGGGTAAAACTTACAGGTCAGGTAAGTGAATAAATTAAAGTGGCCTTGTGGTTTTTTTAGGTTCTGGGAGCTGTGCCTTGAGTTACTTGCTATCAGTGTTTCCCCTGGCTAATGAACTGAGCGAGGTGGTAACAATTCAAATTGATGATTGAAACGAAATTTACAGTCTGTAAACTGAAAAGAATGCAGCGCTCACAAAAATGTGCGATGCTTCCAAAAACACATCGAAATTGTGAGTTCTTGATACATGGAGGTAAAGGAAAATGCTCATATATTACACAAAATGAAAATCTTTGAATTGATATTTCCTTTTTTGCCAATCTTCACAGCGAGGTGGTGATATTGGCAAAAATTGAGCGAGGTGGTCACTGAAAGTAGCGAGGTGGGCCACCTCACGTTTGAATGGGCAGGGGAAACACTGCTTGCTATCAATAATAATTGTATTTGGAAAACTGGGAAACATTCAAAGAAGTGACGTGCATTTATAATGCAAAACAAAATGGTGCTCTTGTCATCTGATCTGCATCAAACCTTGTAATAATGAACCAATCAATGTGCCTTGCAGCACACTTTTGTTGGTTAGCAGATTTTACTTGTAAATAATTGTGAAGCATTCCTCTTGGAGCCAATGCACATTGGCCAATTGGCTACATTGAAGGAGCATACTGTTAATCGTAGGTAGTTATTTTTTAAAAAAAATTGTAAACCTCCGGAACATAAGTTGGATTTGTTAATTTGTCCAGCTTTGCAAATCGTTCAGCTACATGTACCAAATGTGTGTTGTGAATTCAGTAGCACAATTTTGAATGTTTGACGTGTGGACAAAATTATAAACATTCCATGAAAAGAATTTATTATTTAGAGCAAATGTGTTTTTTGAATTCATTCATCTTTTTCTGTGGTGATTTTTGTGTCGCCTAAACTTCTACATGCTTTCATGGGTTTGGATGAAACTTGGATGCAGTCACCCTTTGGTGGGAAGACACAATTCTTCAATGGATTACTGAGGTCAAAGGTCATGTAGGGGTCATTAGAGGTCATTGTTCAAATATGCTTCAAATGTTTTTTTGTCTACAAAATTTAATGGATTTCAATGTAACGTGGATGGAGTGATCCTTGGGTGGGGGTTTATGACAAGTTTTCCGAAATTGGAGGTCAAAGGTCATCTAGGGGTTATTGGAGGTCATTGTTTAAAAATGCAAAAACAGATTGAGTTTTTAATAACACGAAACATATAGGGATTGACCTCGGAAATAGGCAACATGTGCAATCCGCAGATCACCTTGTTTTTCTTAAGCCAGTTTGTGGTGAAAATGCAGAGAAATCAGTGAACACATGCAGACATTATCAGTTTGTGATATGCTAAAGTCGAACCCCAAAAACCCAAAAATTGCATTTTTTCCCCCATTTGGTTCATAATTCATCTTAGATGTAATCTATAGTAGTTTTCATTTATCCTTTTTTCCTTGTCAAGTTACCATGTTATTTGGATAAAGTAGGGTCAGACTACGGAACTGTAAAAAGAGATTTGTTGTACCTTGTCATTCTGGACTCTGCCAGAAGTCAAATTTCATTTTATTTTGTAAAAGAAAAATAATTGTTACCATTATAAAAAAAAAATTATTGAGGCTGATTTCATCAGGTTTTGCTTTAATAGAGTTCTTGCTGTAAACAAACTTGAAAATGCCATAGAAGGGTTTTTACTACAACTTTGAACTTCTTTTTTTTGTGTGACCTTGCTTGTCTGTGAGTGGAGATTATGTTCATTCTTCATTAATTTAAAGTGAAAAGCAATATTCATGCAATATTCATGCATGAACGTGTTGGCTTTTCATGAAAACTGTAGACACCATTTTTTTTTGGAACGGAGTATAAGTTGTTAAATGTTCATTTAACATATTCTTCTTAGCAAACGCTAAATCTAATAATTTCCAATTGATGTGGGAGGTTTTTTTATTGTAATGTTTATCTTAAGACACAATGCAACCTCAATATAGACTTTTTTTGAAAGTTTGCATTATTTTTTAATTCACCAGAGATACAACAAGTGTTTCACCATTGCAAAATATCAACGGAACTGTACCTAAACATTATTATGGAGAGTATGTGTTAGTCTGGCTACCAGTTTTACTGCGGTTGGTCATGTATT